TTTTTTGGTTAGACACACAAGATCTTAGTGAATTGAGCTTGCTAAGGTTTTTTTATTCGAGCAGACAAAAGATAGGTTCTTGTTGAGAAATTAATTGGTAGACTCTTGTTGTTTAGATAAAAGTTATTTCAGCTATATCGCCGAGCAGTACCCTATGTGCTGCATACAGCTGGCCTGCTGATCACAAAAATTGGCATGGAAGAGTACGAAGGTATCAGTGAACGAGCTCTCTTTCAACTCTCTCGGCTCATCTTCCGCGATGAATGCCCACTCACCTCACTGCAACTCATCCAGCTATCCGTGCTATTCCTGTACGCCGTTCATAGCTTATCTCTAAAAAGTAAGCATTTCGTATGGTTGCTTTGCTAATATATAACGTAGAGACATAGATTCGTGAGCAAACAGTGTAAGTTTTTGGCGAGTAAGTCGCTAACTCGGGAACCAGAAAAGCTAGGAAGCTGAAATTTTAAGCGGATGTTCCTCGTCCACTTATAATCTTACCAAATTGTAAATAACGAGCTGTCCTTTATAACAATGGCGCCTGAGTTCTAGACAGAGGCAGATTTAGCTATAAATGGTTCCTGTTACTTTTCCAGCATGGTAAATTGTTTCAACACATGTATCGATGTATTATGTTTATTTAATTCAGGTCCTGAACCGGGTACATGTTCACTGCAGCAGCAACATGCGGTACAAATGGTACTCAGTTTGTTTGGTGTTATTTTGAGACCTCTGCATGACTGCTTAGCCGACTTGCCAAAAATCCTGGATGGATCAACTCCACTGCCATCAAAAGTTAGTCGTAACAGTATTTTTGTGTGCTACTGAAATCAATGGTTTGCTGTCAGAACAGTTTCGTAAACATGTCAGTAGAATCTTGGAACATGAACTGATAAAATCCAGACGGTAAAGCAGTGACATAAACTGAGCACTGCGGTTTTCAAGTATCGTGCTTCTGGTTTTGTGGATCATCTTAGTTGCTGGTGTGAAAAATCCAGAAAATGCGCAGAATTTTTTGTAAAAAACGTTTAACATTTTTATATAAAAAAAGATTTAATTTTGGGCCGGAACGTCTTAACTTCCTACTTCATTGCCTTCTTCTTTCCTTGGCCACATTTTTCCTCACGTGGTCTTCCCGCTTAGATTTTGCCAAAAAATTCCAGATGGAGCTGCAGTAATGCAGAGTTTGATAAAAAGGGTGTCAAATCCAGCTTGTATCGAAAATTGATAATTTCGATGATGTATTGTGTTTATTTTTAAGCAGCCGGTACCCAAAACGAGAGAGGGCGGATGGTTTTTGATGGGTTAGAAAAGAAATTCTTAAGGTTGTGGGGGTGTGCTTCATCAAGGATCAGTGAATTCGGATGCTGTTGTTTTTTAGATGCGAAGAGTGTTGCCAGCTATTTTCGTTATTTCCGAATGGCTTTCGATGCCAACAGTAAATCGTTTATATGGAAGTATGCCATCATTGGAATCAATTGAAACTCCACTGTTACGTATTGATACGTGGAAAATATTGGCGGATATAGCGAATGCATTGGTTAGCGCCGAATCGCAGGGCGTTCTGTCGAGGAGTCTTGCACAATCGGATGGTAAGAAGAGAAAGCTTCTTTCATCAGGCCATGCGCCATTTTTGGTTTATTTTTTCTTTATGTTTCTTTATTCGCATCATTTAAAGTATCCTTTTTCGTGTAGCAAAATCGGAAGAATTCACGGAAATTGTCCTTCCTGAATCGGTATTTTTGGCCTCATTTATCGATGTCTTCACAGTGGTACCAAAATCGTTGCGGATGTCATTGCTAGCAAATATTGATCTTCGCAATAATGTGAGTTGATAGTTGTATTTGTTCTCAAGGTCTTTTTTTTTAGTAACAAATGACGAATAGGTTTTTTTATAAAACAGGGACAATGAAGTATGCCTTTTTTGCATGTACAGATATGGAAGTACATATTGATTAGATCCTGTGTGTGTATTTGTGAGTGTGTGGGTGTATATGCGTGAGTGTACCTGTCTGCCTCTCTGTGTTTTTTTTTTTTTTTTTTTTTTTTT